ATAATAAATATATATATAAATGAAAATGTATGTATAAAAAAAAAATGAATTAATAAATACGTCACCTGGAGTATTATTATAAATGTAATATACGGTTTAGAATTAAAAATTCATCATCAGTTACATCACAGACAAAATGTAAAACGCGATTGAACATAAAAAATTAAATGAAAGAATACATAGAAAAAAAAAGGACGTCCTAGAATAATGGAAATGGATGCAGCCACTGTTTAAGGTAATTTAATGTATATCTGTAAGCAACAATAAACCATTGCTAACGAAAAACGATTCTGAGCGCAGTTCAGTTGATAATGATACTTTTTCAACAATATATATGTTATATTATGGCGAAATAATTAAATAGGCCTTAAATATTTTTTTTAATAATTTTTTCGCCCTTTTTTCAGTTTTTCACATTTGCTGGGAAAAATGTTTGGAAATTCAAAAAATTACCCCCTAATATACCTTACCAGTCAGATTTACTTTCAGAAAAAGTGCTATCATTGTAAATTGGAGCAAAATTGCTAGGTAGAAAAGCTATACACAGAAAAAAAGACATGATATTTTTTTACTAATATCTACATTCGTAAATTTACCGTTTTCCGTCATTTTATCCCGATTTTAACCAGTTTTTATGAAAACCGATTGAAAATTCAAAAAATGACCTCCCAAAAGTACCATCTGAACAACATACCCTTCCAACACTGGTACCGCGCGTTTATATCTGAACAAGATTTCTGGTAGAATTTGTGTACACAGGATAAAAAAAATAAAAAAATAAAAATAAATAAACATCTTAGTAAAACCAATACATTATTCGCTACACTTAGAATCTAAAATTGTATAATCGTTGTATGTAATGTATGATCGTTTTACATAGAAATAATTTATTTTAATAGAAGAGTTTATTTAAAATTGGTTATTATTAGACATAGATATGTTAAGAAATATATATTATTTGGTTATTATTTATTATCTAAAATATATATATATATATATATATATATATATAAGACATTATATTTTTTAAATCAATTTGTATATTTAAAATATTATTAAAATTATTTTCCTTTATTTCATTGTATATATGTAATTCTTTTAAAAGTGAATTAATGTAAATATTATTTTGGACACTTAATATCTCTAAGTTTATATTAATATCAAAGCTTATACTATGGTTATTTTCTAAAACATATTTAGCGAAATTTGAATTAAGCGCAGGCATTTTTAATTTTTATCAGAAATGTGTTCTTTTTATCTTATTTTAAAATTTCTATTTATCTTTCCTATATAAAATTTATTACAGATACATTTAAATTTAAATATATACCAACATTTTCAAAAGAAGGGAGATCTTTGTGAAGTTATTAGTTGTATTGTTTATGTTTTTACATTATTATATAATTGTTCAGAATTTTAGAGAATTCTTTAAACATATTATCAATTTTTAGGTTTTTACGCACTTCCGATACAGGTACCAATTACTTAAGTGACTAAAAGTAACAAAAAAAAAAAATAACTATTAGACCAAATAGGTATTAACATAATATTATAAATCTTACAATAATATAGTGGAAAATATACTAAACGATATAATATGTTGATTAGTATTAAAAAAAAAAATGTTACATATTGGTTTAGATTGTTTAAAACGTATCTAATGTAGATAAAGAACCGAAGAGGTCGAAGTTTATATTATATGATTATTATTTATTTAATTTGAAATAGAAATTAATTATTTATTATACTATATAAAGGTAAGTATACCTACCTCTCTCGATTTTGACCTTAAATCCGGCTCTAATAAATATGTACATACCTATCTAATTATTATAATAATATTCGTTTAGCTTACTGTCTATATTTAATACAAATTACAAAAAACAAAATTAATTGTGAATTTATGTAAAACGAGTTAATTGAGGTTAGGTTAATAATATTAAGAAACATATCTCGGTAAATCCGATTAAATTTTAATGTACATACGAGTACGTAGTAGGCATTCGCATTTCGAAAAAAAATCACACACTCCCACTCAAACATTGGACTGTTGACTGAATTTTCGTGATAATTACCTGCTGTACAAATTTGAGTTTATACGGCAATACAAATTAAAAGATAATTAAGTTATTATATAAACGCCTAAAAAACAATAATTTTTAATCAAGAATCTCAATAGAGTTAACAAACATAGTTGTATTTTGGTTTAAATATGTATTTACTATTTTATTTTCGGCAGATTGATTAATGCATACAGCAGATGACAGATTATAACATAATAAAACTAAAATTTAAATTACACAATAAATGAGTGATAATGATTTTAGATTCTAAGTGTAGCGAAGAATTAATTGATTTTACAAAGATGTTTATTTTTTTTTCTCAAAAGTTCTCTCATCAAATGTAACCGAAAACACGGAGGAAAAATGTAAAAATATACAAAATATTATATTAGTAAATTATTACTTTTTTTTTCTGTGTACAACTTTTCTACTCACATTATTTTGTTTCGATTTACAATGATAGCACTTTTTCTTACTGGTAAGATATATTTAGGAGGTCATTTTTCGATTTTCCAAACATTTTTCCCAGCAAATGTGAAAAACCGGGAAAAAACATCGAAAAACAGGAAAATCGGTACAATATTAAACAAATATTATTAAAGAAAATGTATAATTCTTATTTAATTATTTTACCATAATATGACATGTATATATATTGTTGACATTGCATCATTATAAATTGAATTATGCTTAGAATCGTTTTTTCGTAAGCAATGGTTTATCATTCCTTACAGATATATATTAAATTCCTTTCTGTATCCTACATACTCAAATTTCCACCTACACCAGTGGCTGCACTCATATGTGAAGTATATATTTTTTCTTTTGTATACTCGAGGCAAAATAAATAATTTAGATCCCACCCATCCAAAACAGATATGTTATATTTTATTTTATATGTTCTATAAATATTTTTTTTTCAGTGAAATTCTTAATTAGCTAAATTATTACATTGACTATATTATTTGTAGAGCCGTGCCTAGGAATAATGTGAGAGGTTCACATTCACCGGGCGTTACGACCACAGAGGTGCCAAACAGAGACCACAGGGGCGTCAATTAAAATGTTTAAAAGTACTGAAATTTAATGATTTTACAATAAACAGGACAAGTTTTAAGATATTTAGCATAAAGATTGTGACACTACTTTTTCTAGCACCGGGTACTTTATCTTGATAGCTACAGCACTAATTGGCTATAATCGTATTCGTATACAACCATAATCGGAGATTTAATATAATTTTAGGAGAGACTATTTTAGTGATAAGCAGAAAAATATCATAAATCATAAATGTTTAATATATACGAACCAGATTTAAAACGATTAAAAAGTAAATATTAATAAATAGTAATAAATATAGTAAATAAATATGAAAATAAAAAATGTATACGTAAAATAAAAAGATAAGACAATGCAGACGGGTGCAGCCACTGGTGTAGGTGGCAAGTTGGGAAGGTAGGATATAGACGAGAATTAAATGTTTATCTATAAGCAACGATAAACCATTGCTTACGAAAAAACAATTCTGAGCAGAGTTCAATTAATATTGATGCAATGTCAACAGTATATATGTTATATTACGGTAAAATAATTAAATAGGCATTATATATTTTCTGTAATAATATTTGTTTAATGTTTTACCGATTTTCCCGTTTTTCCTGGTTTTTTAAACTTGATTAGAAAACTCCTGAGAAAATCGAAAAATGACCACCTTATCGGTGGGGGGAGTACATCCCCACACCGTTGTTCTATCAAAAAAGGTGCTACACTTAAAAATCTAAGCAAGTCTACTGCTAGAAAAGTTGTTCACAGATAAGAAAAAAAAATTAAACATCTTTTTAAAACAATTCACATTTTAAAAATGTTTATTTTATCTACAGTAAACAACTTATCTACCAAAAATCTTGTTTAGATTTACAAGTTTAGCACTTTTTCTAAAAGGAAAGTTTATCTGGGGTGGTACTTTAAGAAGGCCTTTTTTTGATTTTCTTAGCGGTTTTCATAATAATTGGGAAAAACCGGAAAAAAACGTTGGGAAAACGGGAAAATTTACGAAATATATTACCTATTTTAATCGTAAATATTACAGCCATTCAAAATAATATATTTAACCGAAATTCGTTCAGAATCGTTTTTCGTTAGCAAAGATTAATCGTTGTTTAAATACATGTTATATACATTACATTTTTCCTCTAAATCCTACCTACTCAACTTCTCACCTATAACAGTGGCCCAGCAATCGCACGAAGTATGTCCGTCTTTCTTTGTTTGTACCTGCCGCAGTCCGTAAGTACGGAAACAATCATGTAGGTACATGGTTTGGATTTACGAGCTAAACACTCGGTAAGCGGTAGGTAATATTATATCGGTGTACACAATAATATTGTTTACGGCCGGTTTTGACGTGCCATATGAACCGTCTGGCGTTATCTAAGGTCGCCGTAATAATAATAGTGTATGATATTATAATATATTATATTCACACGCGGGCAGCTGCAGTCAACCGGTGGTTTTCGAACGGGGGACCCAGAGGTTAAAATATTTATAACGTACAAAATATTACTCGTGTTATTTATTATATTGCGGCCGCGGTCTCGAGTTTATCGTGATATCAGCCCGTTTCAATGACGTACTTTATTATAATGTTATTATTATTATTGTTGCAATTGCTTATCGACCGAAGTCTGTATTTTTAGGTACGCGGACTTTTCTCGATAACGCCGCACTGCACCTGCTCATCACGTCCGCCGACTTCAGTCGTCGTCGTAGTTGTTGATCCACAGCCAAAACCGCGTAGCGCTCTTGTTATTTAATTTGCGCCCGAGTACGAAATCGAAAACTTGGAACGTTTTCAATAAAAAATAAATAAATATACATTTGTATAATACGATCCCGTTGCCAATTTCCTTGGCTCGTACCGCCGGCAACTGCAGCACTATGGGAGGTAAGCATTCCAGAATGGACCCCATGGACGTACAAGTGCCCGAGCTACAAACACAGCTGGACCGCGATCCGTATTTGAAGCCTTACGAGAGAGAATTCAAACGCAGGTACCTACCTAAAACGAACATATTATTATTACTTTTTAATTATTTTTAAAAGTTGTGAATATGTAGAGCCTAAATAATTATCTACTTAGATGAATAAATTCGAACAGGTAGTCTTATTATACATATGTATATTTTTCTTTTAGGTACGCGTGCTTTTTGGATTATTTAGAAAGAATAAAAACCGAGGTAGATTTGGATTCATTTACGACCGGCTACAAAAATTTCGGTGTACATTTCAATAACGATGGGACCGTCAAATGTTTGGAATGGGCTCCGGGAGCCAAACAGTTATATCTCACCGGTGATTTTAGTGAGTACCAACCTATTTTTATATTATTTTATTTTAATAATTAATTACGTAACGTAACTACGTAATTAAATAAATCAACGTTTCCCAACCCATGGCCCGCGGTCCACTTGTGGGCCTCGGACAATGTGGTACTGGGCCACAGACGCTGGTCGAGGGTATAAGCCAATAGAGTTGGAAAATTCTTTATTATTTATATTATTATAAACGTCTGTATTTCAATCGAGATTTTATAATAATCAGACAATTATCGCTATTGTACCATTTATTGTATTGATTGTCGTTTTCTTATCTAGCATTCTAGACAGTGGCGTTCTCATGTATATATACATACATATATTGGTCATATGTGCATAATATATAAAGCGGCCCCTACACGATCAATAATTTTGAGTCAATAAAATTGTGTCAATATTTTGTTCAATATTCATTTAACCCAAACTTCTCAATAATATTGCCCAATATTCAGTCGAGAAATATTCGTTGGCCAGGTCATAAAGGTGTTGTTTACGCTGTGTTAAAGGTGTTTAGTGGCATTTACCATCTGCTATAAATTATAGATTATAATTGTTTTAAAAATGTATCTTAATGATAACCTACGATAACGACGAACCTAACCGAATTAATTTGCTTCGCGGTAGTACTTGGATTAAATCAAAAAAATTCCAAACAAAATTCCAAGACGATGGATAAAAGAGTGATATAAACGAAGAGAGCAATATAGTCATGAAAAATTATTGAACTTTCCACGAATGATTGAACCAGACGACTATAGGCATTTTTTGCGAATGGATGCTACATCTTTTGAGAATTTATTGAAAGCATGTGAAATTACCTGTATTTTATAAGTATAATTAACTTGACTGTATAATAATCGTATTATCATTATAGCTTGACACTCCATATATCCAAAAATAAAATACGATAATGAGGGAAGCTATTTCTGTCAATGAAAGATTAATATTGTGAAGAGGATATTAAGTATTGTGTAATAAATTTCCAACCCAGTTTGATTTCTTCGATATATTGTACAATCCTTCAATATTATTGATCGTGTAGGGACCGCTTAAGTGTTTTTATTTTTACCTGCATATTAGTTTAGTGGGCCTGAAAGTCTTTTCTACAAAATTGGTAATCCACAACTAAAAAGGTTGGGAACCGCTGAAATAAATAATAAGAGACTTTCTTATTAATATTTAACTTGGGCAATTATATTATTAACCTAAATTTCCCGAGGTTCTGTCTGATAACTGATTTGTATTTTCATTACTTACTCCAGTTTCCTTATTTCTATGGTATTATTAATTTCGTACTTGTAATACTTACCTATTCATTATAGACACCAAAACATTCATAACTTCATAATTAGGGTTCGGAAGTTATAGGAGTTTCATATTTTTCTGTATGCACTGAATTCGTAGCAAACCAAACTGGAAATTCAATGAATAATTTAAAAATCGAACATTTATAATGCATATTTTACATATTTCGTTAATTTTAGAGAAAAATGTTATCAATTTTCATTGATTTTCGCATATTTTTACACGTATATGCATATTTAATATTTGCTAAAAAAAATCAATTCTTTTTCTTTTTTGGCCAATATATTTTAATTAACATTGAATATAAAACTCAATATTATTTAACGTAATTATTTATTGTTGTTCCTTATCGTCTCAGTCTATTATTAATTTAACGACAACAGTGCGATTCGCATTTAATCTTTATCTCTTTTGTAAATATTAATAATGACATTATGATTTGTTTTTGAATAATTTTTCGCTTATTTAACATTTTTTCGTGCATATTTTAAAAAAATGTTCCATGCATATTTTGCCTTTTTTAGCGCCTATAATTTCTGAGTGCTACTCTTAACGATTAGTTTTAATATAGTCAGTTAGCTGCCATCTATTTACAGAGATGGGCAAGATATTTCACAATGACTACCTACTAAACAGGTATCTATAGATAATAAACCCTTTGATTTTCAGTACCTATAAATATAATAATATACTAGGTACTCATGTAAAAAGTATAATAATACAAGATATCTACATTCTATATATTTAAATACTACAACCTAACCTAACCTACTTGATAAAATATATAAAAATGAAAATATAAGTTAAATTTTTCACGCATATCATGTTTCAAAAAATTCAATATTCGTTTATTTTAATTATTTCCAAAATTTTTTCCCATTTTCGTACAACCTTGTTTTAATTTCCTATGCATTTTTTAAAAAGCCAGATGAGAAAATAATTCAACTTGTCCGCGTATGTACGAGATACTACCTACCTAAATATCAAGATTATTGATACATTGATTTCAAAATCACAAGATTAGGTAGGTAGGTACTCGATACTTTCTAGAATTATCGCGATACAATTTACAATAGTGTATCTAAAAGACATATTTAAGATAGTTTTATCGAAGATACTACCCAATCCTAAGTATTTGGCTATTAATACGACCCCTGGGAGCTTTTTTGATATTGTACATTTTGTAATGTTACTTATGACGTCATTTTTATTGTATATTTTCTACCCATATTTATAGATTTTTAAGAGCTATAAAATCCTTGGACTAACCCATGAAACATGATTTCACACTATTTTGTACTATCTAGGTACTACCACAAAGAACATCATACCCACATAATAAGCTGTCTCAACATGTCATACAACATGTTGCAGCGTGAGAGCAATTTTTCGTTCGGTGAATTTTACCTAATTTAACCTTACCTACATATTATCAAACTTAAAGATAAGAACATCGTTTTTTTTCGTTTTCTTATCTTTAAGTTTGATTGAAGGTGAATTCTTTCTAATATTTAAACTAACAGACCAGAGCAGGGATGGATTTAGGGTTATGGGGCCCGTGGCTAAAAATCAATAAGCAAAAAAAAAAAGTTCATCAACAAAAGATTCATATTATATTCTTATATTCGTATAAATGAACAAAAAAAGAGGTATTTACAGAAAAAAAAAGACCGTAATGTTTTTTAAATACTGTCTACATTTTGTACATTTTCCCGTTTTTCCTCCGTTTTTTTACCGTTTTTTCAATTTATTGGGAAAACTCCTGAGAAAATAAAAAAATGACCTCCTTAGAGTACCTTCACAGTCAGATTTCCTTTTAGAAAAAGAACTATTTTTTTTAATCGGAGCAAAATTGTTGGTAGAAAAGTTGTCCACAGAAAGAAAAAAAAATTATATAAGATAAATATCATAATAAAACCAAAAGTTCCTCATCAAAAACACACATTGTGTAACCTTCTTCAACTTGTGGCCCGGGGCTACAGCCCATCTAAGCTCCTCTCGATCTAGCCCTGACCTAGAGTTATCTCTGCGGTACGAACATTTGCCATGTCACGCGGTTGTATGACAGAGACAACTTGCGCGAGTATGACGCCCCTCTTAACGATATTTCTAACAAATTATAAAATTCAGAAATCCTCATAATCATTAACCACCACTATCACCGCCCCGAAAATGTGATATTATGGAAAATGACATTTGTGATGAAATTTAGTCAGTTGACGCAATTTAAAATAATCAATTATACCAATATAATTTTAGTATTTTGATATTTATACTTACATAATACATATAATTGTTAGTTAATTAATTAATTATCCTAAACCTTACTGTCCTTATTAAATATGTTATACATTTTAATAATTATTTCTTACCTATACTTACAGATAATTGGAACAGAGAAAATTGCCCGTTCAAAAAACTCGACTATGGAAAATGGGAATTGACTTTACCGCCCAGCAGCGACGGGACACCCGCGATTAAACATTTATCTGAAATAAAGGTAGGTAGTCAGTTCACATTGCTATTTACCTAGTTAATTTATTATTAAAATTTTATCTATTATGTCGATTAATAGATTGTGGTTGAAACTTATCATGGTGAGAAGTTGGACCGTATTTCACCCTGGGCGACTTACGTTGTCCAACCTCCTCGCGAACAGGGTGTTACATTTAAACACAAAGTCTGGAATCCGTCTGATCACGTGAGTTTTTTCTTAATAAATTAGATTTTGGATCTGATGTTCTGTGATTTTATGGGCAAGTACCTAAAACCGATTATACTATACGTTTTCAAGGTTTATCAATTCAAACACCCCAAAGTACCGAAACCGTCTAATATGCGCATTTACGAGTGTCATATCGGGATCGCCACGTCGGAATACAAGGTTGGAAGTTACCGAGAATTTAAAGATACCATGTTAGATCGAATTATCAATTTGGGTAAACATAATATATTTAATAATAAATTATAATATTATCAATGGGACATAGATAATCAAATAATGCGACTTCATGACCTGTTTTCGAAGAAACGGGTGGGTGTAGATTACTAGTGTAATATTAATTAGTATCATAGGGAAGCTTTAAAATAAGATAGGCGCACATGGGGGGAATTGGAGACTTAGTCCCCTAGATTTTTGCAAAGACCCCCAAGTTTGTACTTAATACTCAGAATAAGCATTTTATGAAACATTTTTTTTTTTTTTGAAAATGATATCAATTTAAGCAGTGGTGTTTACATAGGGTATACTACATAATATAATGTGTATATTAACTTTTATTTGTATATAAATGTCTATTGTTCATAATTGTATTATTGCGTAATTACTTTGTAACTCTGTGTCTCTACCACAACTTGTGACCATTCAAATTGTATTTATTAATTTAAAGGAGGCAAATTCCAGGGGATTTTTTGCCAAATTAAACACCAAAAAGTACTTAATATAAAATTATATTTGACATTATGAAGTCCAGGGAGGGGGCAGATGTCCCTTGGGTGCCCATGACCACAAGCATAGCTTTTTTTACATTTTTTTTTTTGTGAACAACTTTTCTACCAGAAATTTTGCTCCGATTTACAATGATAGCACTTTTTTCTAAAAGTAAATCTGACTGGGATGGCACTCTAAGAGAGGCCATTTTTCGATTTTCCCCGGAGTTTTCTCTACAAATGTGAAAAATTTAAAAAGTGGAAAATATTTAATTTAATGTATACTTTTAAACAACGATAAACCATTACTTACGAAAAAACGATTCTGAGCGGAGTTCAGTTTATAGTGATGCTTTATCAACAATATACATACATTCCATATTGTAATAAAATAATTAAATAGACCTTATATATTTTCTTTAACAATATTTGTTTAATATTATACCGATTTTCCGGTTTTCTTAAGTTTTTCCATGTTTCTTCTGATTTTTCACATTTGCCGGGAAAGCTCTTGATAAAATCGAAAAATGACCTTTTGTACCTTATTGTACCTTCCCACATCAATTTCCTTTCAGAAAAAGTGCTATACTTAGAAATCAGAGCAAGTCTTTTGGTGGAAAAGTTGCTCACAGATAAAAAAATAAAAAAATAAGCATCTTTGTAAAACCATAAGCTTCTTCGCTCCACTCAGAATCTAAAATGTGTACTGATTATAATAATAATAACAACATTATAATATTACTATATATATATCAGTATATATAGTTATTATATAGTTATATTAGATATAATTATTATATCAGTAATGTAATATAACTACTTAATACCTAATAAAATTATGATGTATACAATATTGAATATTGTATACCTATATTGCTAAATCATTACAATATATGCTATACATAGGCGGGAAATATATTATAACACCATTAAGAGTAAGAGGGTAATACTCCAGATATTTCTAATATACTATCAAACGTAAAACCTCAGAAAATAATAAAAAGAGAAAAAGTTTTATCAAACGGTTTGACTTGGATAAGATCAACTATGATATATGGTCGCTTTAAATGTTAATCAATGAGATCAAGAGATGTATCAAATAATAGAAATGTAGATGATATTGTAAATTAATTTGCCAACACAGAACTGAGTATGTTATTGAAAAAAAAATAAAAATGTTTTCTAATATTTTTTTATTGTATGTATATTAGGTACTATAGTTATGAAATGTTAAACGCTTTTTTAGTAATATTAGAGGGAGAAGCTTGAGTTTAGTGGGGACTCAACCACCGTCCACCCCCTTCAAACATTTTGGGTTATTTGCGCCTATGATTGATGGACACATTTATTGATTATGTATGTTATTAAAATTCCCCTGCGAGCCACTGAATATTATAATAATTAAACATTTTTTAATTTTACGAATCTAATCTAACTATAATTATTATTAATTAATTTCTGTACCTACTATTTTTCTAGGATATAACACCATCCAGGTGATGGCGATTATGGAACACGCGTATTACGCGTCTTTTGGTTATCAAGTAACCAGTTTCTATGCAGCTTCGAGGTACTTGCCTTCTGCATCAATATATATTTTATTTCAGTTAAAAATAAGCTGCCTTTTTGCTATTCTGAATTCAAATTCTGAACATGTTATTAAAATAATTATTTCTTTCGTCCTTGCTTCGTCATTTAACTTGACTATTACTATTTGTTTTTCTAGTATTATATCTGTCAATATTGTAAATTATAATTATCTGGGTTAAAAGTTTTTTTAAAAGCTTTTAATTTTAAAAAAAGCTCTAAACAGTTCTAATTAATATAATTTGTTTAAATTTATAAACCTTACATAAACAATTGTTTAAACATTTAAACATTCTAGAGAGGGTTAATTTGGTAATCCACTTATGCAATTTAAAAAAGTCAATTTTCTATAAATTAATTAAATTATTGCAAATGGTAAACCTAATGGTTTTAATAGTGAAGAAAATTGTGTTTGATTACTTCATTATTATGGTATGACATATCTGTCGAAAAAAATTTAATAATATTAGCTAAGCACATTAGGTAAAATGTAGTTTTTGGATAAATTTCTGGGGGGGGGGGGTTAGTTATAACTAGCTAATCAACTTTTTTGCCATTGTTTAATAGGCACATGGGACATATACATAATATTATTATTACTATAAAACCTACCAAATAATAATTTGTATTTATTTATTGTAGTCAGGTTAGGTACCTATATGAAGTATTTACATACAATTTAATTTGAATTTTAGTCGGTTCGGCACACCGGAAGAACTTAAAGAATTAGTAGATGTTGCACATAGCAAAGGTCTTTATGTCATGTTAGACATGGTCCATTCACATGCGTCCAAAAACGTATTGGATGGCTTGAATCAGTTTGATGGTACAGACGCTGGATTCTTTCACAGCGGACCCAAAGGAAGTCATCCTTTATGGGATAGTAGACTGTTTAATTATTCGGAGTAAATAAGTGAAAAAATAATTTTTTTTCTTAAACTTAAATTGATATTTTATTAATAACCTATGCTAACATATATAGGTACGAAGTGTTACGATTTTTACTGTCAAACTTGCGTTGGTACATCGAAGAATACAATTTTGATGGATTTAGGTAAACCCCATTTTCAAAATATATTTGATAATTATACTTATTATGAATAGCTATTTAATAAAAAAAAAATTTAGATTCGACGGAGTCACATCGATGCTATATCATTCAAGAGGAGCTGGACAAGGTTTTAGTGGTCACTATGATGATTATTTTGGATTGAGTGTTGATAGTGATGCAGTAATTTACTTAATGTTGGCAAACTATATCCTGCATAAGTTTTATCCTAATTGTATAACCATAGCAGAGGTGACCCATTTATTACCTAGATAAATCAATCAATATTACATTTTTATTTTTATTAAATTGCTTTTTGTTGTTCAATTATTTAGGATGTATCTGGAATGCCATCGACTTGTCGGCCAGTCGATGAGGGAGGCTTGGGATTTGACTACAGATTAGCCATGGCTATTCCAGACATGTGGATTAAATTGTTAAAAGAATGCAAAGATGATGATTGGAATATGGGAAATATCGTTCATACACTTACCAATAGGAGATGGATGGAAAAAACAGTTGCATACTGTGAATCTCATGATCAAGTAACATTACATACATTAATAATAATACTTATGCAATATTATATGCAATATTCTTTTATTTAAATGGATATATTATAATATACAGGCACAAATAGCAAAAATATTTGGGAGCTTATTAAATAACAAAATAATAAAGTAAAAACAAAATCAGGGTCGGATTGAGAAAATAGTAAATAAACCAGTAGTGAGAGGTTGTTAAAAATGATGTTGAGTCATATCCATGACATTTTTAAGTGTCAACCACAAACATTTTTTTTTATTATTATCATTTTATTCAATTATTAAAAAAAAAGATTAAAAATTATTTGCCTAGGGAGTAGTCCAGTCCATCAGGAAAACTCCCCCTGAATGGGGCCTGAAAAAAATTATTAAATTGTTTAATTATTATAAATAATTATATAAATATATTTTTATTTATATATTTAGCTTATTAATGTCCCATAATATTGATAAAATATACTTAATATTTACATAATAAATACTTGATTTGGGGAAGAGGCTTGGTTGAGTTTTAAGTGCAAATTTTAAAAATATTTTAAGCACCTAAAGAATGTAAAAATAATTGTTTTAAAAAGGTAGTTGCAACTACTTTTTTTTTCTAAAAATGTTTTTAAATAATTAGTATAGACTAAAAAAGTATCTAAGTAATAATGTACATACCTGAATTTAAAAAATAATAACAATAATAGTATATTTAAACATTTTGTTCAGGCTTTAGTTGGAGATAAAACTATTGCGTTTTGGTTGATGGACAAAGAAATGTATTGGCATATGGCCATTTCAAGTGAATCTTCTTTAATTATTGATCGTGGAATAGCTTTACACAAAATGATTAGATTGATAACCCATAGTCTTGGTGGTGAAGCATACTTAAATTTTATTGGTAAGGGATATAAGTTAAATTCTCCTTCAATTTTGCTATTTTTTATTTTATTTTTTTTTTTAGGTAATGAATTTGGTCATCCAGAATGGTTAGATTTTCCCCGTGATGGTAATCAAAGTTCATATCATTATGCCAGACGCCAATGGAATTTGGTAGATGATGAATCATTAAAATATAAATTTTTGAACAATTTTGATAAAAGTATGAACAATTTAGAAAATAAATATGGATGGTTAAGTGCAAATCCAGTAAGTATGATAAATAGTTTCTGTCATATACATTTATCAAAATATACATTTTTTTAATATTTATCTAGGCATATGTTAGTTTAAAACATGAAGATGATAAAATTATTGCATTTGAAAGAGGAAATTTATTGTTTGTATTCAATTTTCATCCAACTAAAAGTTTTACAGATTACAAAATAGGTTTGCATTCCTCAGGACCAATGAAAATAGTGTTGAATAGTGATAATGTTGAATATGGTGGACATAATAGAATTAATAATGATATTACATATTCAACACTTGAAGGAGAATGGAATGGCAGACAAAATCATATTTTCGTAAGTTCACATACAAATAGTTTAAAACTAGTTTATTAAACCACCAAAATAATACAGGGTTTGATTTTAACATAATTGATGAATTTTAATTTTAGTACACAGAATAAGAAAAAAAAAGTATTTCAAAGTGTAAACAAATTATTTTAAACTAATTGAATTAAAATTGATTACATATTGTATAATATACTATCAAAAAAATATATATATATAAAAATCACACAATGATCTATTAACTATTATGAAATATAATAAATTCTACAAACATTTTTTTTTCTAATATTTTGGAAAGTTTAATAGACAATATTGGTAAATATATTATAAAACCTAATATTTTTACTAAGTACACTTTTGTCATACAATTTCTTCATAAAAAAATTATTATAAACTCAACTATACAATAACAATGACTAAATATTTTATGAGCTCATACATTTATTGCCTAAAATGATTTTAATAACAATTATCAATTACATTTTTAATTTAATTAGATATTTACTAATCTAGTTCTAAATTTAAATTTAAGTTTATTTATTACAAGAATAAATTTTAAAAAAAAAGTGATTTAAAACAGTAACTAACAGTATAGAGTAATTTAAAAATGTCAGTTGTTAATTTATTTTATAGTGATACATATTATGTTTAATATTTAAAGTGTTACTGGAGTTTACTTATAAACTATAATTAGTAATAAGATACAATATTCATTTAAAATTAAATAACTTAATACAAATGGATATGATATTGTTAATACTATGTTTTATTAGCATTTAGCTGCTGCCAGGGTCTATGTTTCTCTCCATTTAAACTCTAATATGATAAATTAATATATTTTCCAGTTGTATTTGCCAACAAGAACTGCAGTAGTGTTTTCTAAAACAGACTGAAATAGTGGAAGATTTTATATTTTACTACTGCTTGATTTGTTAATTTACTACAAATTGTGCACATTATTATCATTATATTCATATATTTTATACTTGAATCTTTATTTTTCGATAAATTATGGTTAAGTCTGATTTTGTTATGAAATCTAAGAACACTTTTATTAGATTATATTGTTTTTAAAACACTAGATTTATTATTGAATGTTATAATTAAATGTGTTTATTTTAATAATTGTTTAATAAATACAATATATTAGCTACTAGTTTTCTACATTATTATTGACAATAATTATGTTTCCTTAATATTTTTATTAAAATAATTAGTTTTAATTGACAGTACTCCATATAAGTTTAACAAGTTATAAAATTAAGTACATATTTGAAAAAATAACAACCGGTTTATTGTATTAAGTCATTTACTAGTCCTATAAATATTAACTAGTACTAAAAAAAAAAAAACCAATTGTTATTCAAACAATCATACAATAATGTAATATGTTACCAATAATTTTATAATATGCCTTGACATATAAATTTATAAATATTTTATCATTTTTATCATATTGCCTTTAGATAAGACAGAAGCATGTTAGATATTCACTAATTACAATATTATCTCAATAATTTATTTGGAAGAAAAATATGAACTATGTTATGGTTTATGATTATTAATTTATCATATTTATGGTGACTTGTCCAGACTCAAAATTTAATAATGGATAATGTTATTAAAATAATAACTTTTTGTAAACAGAAAGTAAAAAATATTTACTTAAAAACACTCTTAAACTTTAACTTAGAATTATTTTGACTTTAAGATTACATACAATATAGTCATAATGAGCTTAAAGAGTTTTAGTCTTTAAATATTACTATACAATATTTTGTTTTTAGAATTAAATTTCATAATTTTTAACATTTTCTTAAATACTAATTTTCAATCAGATAAAGTCTAGCTAGGAACATTCAATGTGTTAATATGCCAAAATGATAATTGAATGAAGAAATAAAAAATATTTTTATAAATATGTAAGAAAAATCGGTAAAAATAGTTTGGTATATACCAGTGTTCCAAAAATAATAAAAAATAGGATGAATAACTTTCTAATATTTCAAAAAGATAAAAGTAGTCTTATTTAATCCATGAAAAATATATAAAAATTATATAGGGTTGATATAAGAAGATACGATATTTTATAACTGATCAGGGTTATATTAGGCTAGTTGTTAACTAATTCTTCTTGCTTATCTATAGTAGGAGTATCATTAGATGAAATATTATTTTTTAGTAAGGAATCCTTTTGTTCTTGTTTCTCAGCAGTAGAAATAGTATTTTCAGCAATTGATGTTTTTTTCATAAATGATACAAGATCCTTTTTTGGTGGTATGATTGGTTTATTTGGAGGAACTGGAGGAGGTGTTCCCCGGCCCACAGCAGTTGAATGTTTCTTAATTAATCCAGGAAAATTTCCCTCGTTAGTATTGGGAACAGACATATTACGCTGGATACCAAATAATGTTTTTTTAACAATGCCGGATGAACTGGAATCTATTGATTGCATATTACGACCATAAGCAACTGGTTTATTTTTAACAGTATCCATTGGGCTTCTGCATTCTTCATTTCCTTTATCAATCTAAATAATGATAAATATTATATTAGTAAGTCAAAAAATGTCATTTTCAAAAGTACATTTTCTGTACTGAATAAACTTAATAAGTACAATATTTGTTAAAATACCTGTGTGTTATTAACAATTTGTCCACTTATTGGATTTGTACAACGTAAACTTTGTCCAGGATTTACTGATCGAGCAATTCCAGTCACTAAGGTAAAAATATTATAAAACATTAAGTACATTAAAATAAGATACATTCGATGGAAATTTTAGATTTGTACATTTACAGTAACATTATTTTATATTATACTTTCAATAATAAAACCTAATAGTAGTATAGTATATTAGGTATTCATATATTATTTTATATGAAATAGAAAATAATTTACTTGGACCAGATACTGGAACACTATTAGCTGTGTTTATTGGCTGTATGACCTTTGTAAAGCTACTCATAATCGGATCATTAGAACCCATTCTTCCAACTAAAATTATATAAGAATATTTATTTATTCATTTCATATTAAAAGGGCTTAGCTCAAAAACAATTTTTTTTATAAGGTTTAAAAAATAAAAAAAATTACAATAACAAAATAATAATTTACAAATATATTAATTATATAATTATAAAATAATTCAACTGGAACACTATTAGCCAATTTTATGAATCTATTAACAAGTGATACTAGTGCATAATTAGCTATAAAAAGCTTTTGTAGACCTAGTTCAATATAGAGGGACATACAAATTGTAATAGCTTAGTAATCTTGGACAGTTTATATAGCCATTAAATATTTTATATAAAAACTTATTATCATTTATATTTCTCTTGGCAGCTAGTCTGGTCAAATTTAATTTATATAATAATGGCATATATTGTGAATGAGGTGAACATGGAATACCACATTTGAAGGTATAATTTGTTTTTATGGAATATTTAAATATTGATTATTTAAAAAAGGAGAAGAGTCAAATGTAAAATTGTTAAGCATTATTATATATAAAAGTTACTATGTAAAACAACAAACTAATTGGTTAAAGATTATTTTCTTTGTTTAATTTTTTTAACTAAACCCTGTCCAACTTAAGAGTATACCCGTTTGCACATAATTCTGTTCGCTCCATACAGCAAGTTATAATATGTATAATACATATCGCCAAATAAATGATATTATACACACATACCTATACTGTTTCAGTCAAATTAACAAGCAACATAGAAAAATGACATTATTTAAAATGTAAATTGTAGAATTTATTTAAATTAAAATAGAGCATACGAGAAAATATGTGTACATGATAAGACCAAGATAAAATGTTATATAAATGTTGTTAAAATATTTTGTTCTCTACATATGTCCCATACCATGCAGTAATAGGAATAGGAACACATGCACGAAAATGTACTTGTTTTCGTCTACTCCAGGATACTCTTAAGTTGAACACAGCCTAGAGAAATATTCTTAAGTCTTATTGAATGTTTTTTTAAGTACTTCAAAATAAATACATTTGTAGCTAAATACTTTAGTGTACTGAATATATATTTGTTATTACATTTTGAGCTAATAAAGGAGGTATCAACTTAAACTAGTTAAAAAAATAATAAAAATATAACCTGAAGATCTACTTGAAAGTTCCAATAAATTATTTTGTAGTGCTTCACTAAGTTCTTTCTCGAGTGAAACAATTTCACTTCGACATTTTGCCAATTCTGCTTCTAAAGTTTTGGTCCTAGAACAAAAAAGTACCGTATTTAATTTATAAAGATTTATACAATTATATTGGTGTAGTATACTACTTGATTGAGGGTCAAAATTAATATACCTATACATATTTTTATTTTTAGACAAAAAAAATTTAATTTCTTTCTAAAAAGTATATAACATTTTTTGAAAAATTACTTGTTTTGTTCAGAACTTAGAGCAGCCATCATACTTTTTCTTTCGACATCAAACAAAGCAAGATGTTTTTCTAAATCTGCTTCCATTTGAAGTGATTTTTTACTTTCCTCTTCTAATCCTTCGGCCATTGTATCACTTTTAAATTTTTCTTCTCTTAATAACTAGAAATACGAATTTAATAGATACAATTCATTATAAGATATATTTTTAATATTCAGCTTAAAAACTGTGTAATTTTTTAATTCCAGTGTCTCAACATGCAACTTTGACACTCATGTGTCCACTATACTCACTCTGTTTCATGATTACAATAACCTAATTTGTGTTAAATATTTTTAACATCTGGTGCTAATATACATACTACAGTCTACGAGTAATTTATTTATAATAATTTACCACTCCCTCAAATTAATAAATCCAAGGGTATTTTATAGTCTTCATCCGAATTGCCAAATCACAAAGGACATAACAATAAAATACTGTTAAGTAAGATTTTAAGAAGTTAACAAAAAAATAAGAATACATTACCTAAATAAATAAATTCAGTTTAGAATATTTTATAAAAACTAACCTGTCCAAGATCTTCTGAACGTTTTCTTTCTGCAATATATTTTGAAGCGGTGTTTTTGTTTTCCTCTAGTAGATAAACAACAAGACCTTTATGTTTTAACTTTTCTCCTTCAAGTATACTATTTAACTTTTTAATCTCATTTTGAAGATGTTGCTTTTTTAAACGTTCTTGATCTAATATCTATATACAATTGCATACAAAATAAAAATTGATAATGACTTTGAGTTGATAAAATAGGTTTATTTATTGCTTTTTTGATCACATTATTAAATATATATAATTAATAATAGGCAACATTTTTTACATAGAGGATATTCTCATTTTCTGATTAACTCTGTTTTTTTTTAAGGAATTACTGAATTATTTATTCAAACTCTAACATAAAATCTGTAAATACAGTTAAATTTGTTTTTATTTTACCTTCCGATGCATTGTTTGATTATCTTTCAACACATTTGCTATTCTCAATTGGGTTTTTCTCTGTTGTAGTATAAGATTTTCTAGTGATCCCAACTGTTGATATGACAGAATATCGTTATTTGCTTCATGTGTTGCAAAGCCATCACGCTGTAATGCTGCTAATGGATCTTTAATAATATTTTCAGTTTCTCTTTCTCTTAACATAGATTTTATTTGTTCACACTATACAATACATAAATTGAAATAAATTAAACTAAAAAATAAAGCTAGTTGATATTAACATAGGTACATAAATATCAACATTTTATGTATATAAATGTATATATATGTATATATAAATCATACTTTTTCTACATGGCCATTTTTGATATTATCATTAAAGTTATTGTTCTTATTGATATTATTTAAGTAGATTTTATTTAATATGACAAATGTATTGTTGAGATTAAAACAAATACATGGTAAATTTATAAAAAAGGCTTAACTGTT